TTTTGGTTTTTCGAGACAGGGTTTCTCTGTGGTTTTGGAGCCTGTCCTGGAACTAGCTCTTGTAGACCAGGCTGGTCTCGAACTCACAGAGATCCGCCTGCCTCTGCCTCCCGAGTGCTGGGATTAAAGGCGTGCGCCACCACCGCCTGGCTCGGAAAAAGCCCTTCTTGCCAGCTTTTTTGCCATCAAGAATCTGGAGAGGAAAAAAAAGAAAGGAAGAAAAGGTGGCTGGGGTGATGATAGCTCAGCTGGTAAAGTGTCTGCCTTGCAGGCAGGAAGAGCTGAGTTTAATCTCTCAGAGCCCATGTTAAAAAAGAAAGGGAAGGAAGGAAGGAAGGAAGGAAGGAAGGAAGGAAGGAAGGAAGGAAGGAAGGAAGGAAGGAAAAAGAAAGAAAAGCCAAGTGTGGTGACACAGGCTTCTAATCCCAGTGCTGGGGAGGCAAAGCCAGGCAACCCAGAGGGCTCACTGGCAAGGCAGCCTAGCCCACTCAGCAAGCTCCAGGCTTATGAGAGATCCTCTTTCAAAACATAAAGATTTAGGGGGAGGCACAGAGGTTAAGAGCACTTTTTGCTCTTGCAGAGAATTTAGGTTCAGTTCCCAGTACCCATATGGTAGCTCATAACCATCTGTACCTCTAGTTCAGGGAACCCAATGCCTGCTTCTGTCCTCTGAGGGTGCCAGTCACACACAGGGCGCACACATGCAGGCAAAACACTCATCCACATAAAAAAAATCTTAAAAAAATGAAACAAGGAGAGGGTTACAAAATGGCTCAGCAGGTAAAGGTGCTTGCAGCCAAGCCTCATGACCCAAAAAATGCCACGTACGACTAGGGTAGGAGAGGGCAGCCAGGCAGCACAGGCAGGAGGGAGTAGCTGGAACCTGACTCTTCCCACCCCTTCTTCTATGAAGGACATTGAGGGGTCTTGAGAGAGTCTGACCAATGCAGAACAACATCCTATCAGCTCTGTAAGACTACTCAACACCCTTTCAAATCCATTACCGACCAGTTGAAGAGCTAGCCACTAAGATATGTGCTGTTCCTGAATCCACCAGTAGATGGCACTCCTGGAAAAGATTTCAGAGTCCTAGCCGGTGGAAAAGGAGTTACAGGGCAGAGAGATAATTGATGAACACCAAAGCTGCCCTGCAGGAAGAAGGCCCTACACAACACCGTGAAAAGCAGCAGGGAAGGAGACAAGCCATGGGTCTTGGGAACATTCACTGGACCTGGTTACCCTTCCTAGAAAGGACCACAGCAGCTTCCCAGGACCTCCATTCCCAGGCACCAACCCTCCCAACTGTATCAGGGCACAAGTTTCCCCTCTGCCTTCCCTGTTGGTGCTAATTCTTTCTTGGAACTCCAGACCCAGAAAAGCCATTTGAACCTGCCTGCTTGCCCCCGTGACCACCCTTTTTGGCCTCTTGTAATGTCCTTGGCTTAATTATGGCTGTGATTTTACACGTCCAGGGACTACTGCTACCTCTGGCTCACACCAAAGTTCCCCCATGGCTGTTGTGCAGAACCTAGCTACTGTGACCAGGAACGGGCTCCAAAAGATGCAAGGGTTAGCCACACACAGGTGAAAAGTGGGCAGCTTGCTGGCCTTGAGGTCGGAGGCCACAAGGGTGCGCTTCTGGGGCAGGCAAGCTAACACACCTGCAAAGCCAGTTTCCTCATTTACAAAGAGGCTCTGAGAGTTGCCACATGTCCTGTTAAATTAGAAGCTGCACCTTAGCAATGCCTCAGTGAGCTGGTGGTATGCTTCTGACTTTCTGAAAGGACCATGTAAGGAACGAGGGAGCCAGGGAGCTGGGAGTCAGGGTGCACGCCTTTAATCCCAGCACTCAGGGCCAGAGGCTATGAGTTGAGGCTAGCCTGGTCTACAGAGAGAGTTCCAAGACAGTCAGAGCTGTTACACAGAGAAAGCCTGCCTTGAGGAAAAAACAAAAACAGAAGGGGAAAAAAAAAGAAAACAAAGAAAGAAAAGAATGGGAGGAGCAAGTTTCTCAACCATCCCAAAGCCACCAACTTGGGCGGTCTGTAGTATGGCATGTTAATGTTAGTGAGACCTTTTAGCACCTTGGCTGCTCAGGCTACAGAGATTCCAGTTTGTCATTGATGTGTATGCCGGACATACTGGAATGGGGTGTGGTGGGCACTCCAGAGACCTGCCTTGGAGTCCTTTACTAAACACCCCCTGGACATGGGCTTCGGAGGAGAGCTTCCTGGTTGCGGCTATAGATGCAGAGATGGCTAGAAGTTTGATGTCTTCATTGGTCAGGTCTCCGGAGTGGGGAAGCCAGAGCATCTGCTTGGCAGATTAGACTGGAAAGTGCGCCTGGCTCTCATCCTCACAGGTCTGAAGACTCTCCTTGAAGTAAGGCCCCTCCCTCACCCTGGCTTCTGCTTGTTTGTGAGTTTTCCTGAGGACCCCCTTGGAACAGAGAAGAGAAACCTAGGTGAAAAGGTAGTCATGGGGCTTCCCGGACTGACCTTGACCAGTGACTGGAATTTTCCCAGGACACCAGTCAGCTCAAATCACCATGCCCTGCAACTGGGCCGGCGGTGGTGACATTCTTCTCTGACCACTTTGCCCCCAAAGCCCTCTTAGCTAAGATTTCCTAAGAATGACAAGCTAAAAGCCCTCTCACCCTACAGCCTGCCTTTAAAATCCCTACAAAGATTTGGGGGTTTCTCTTACTAGGGGGTACTGTCTTCCAAAGCTTGCTTCTCCAGGTTGGGTGTACCACTAGGCACGCTTCTGACAAGACTCTCCTTGGGATCAGAAGGATATCTAAGCCCGGGAATGGGCTGTTCCCATCCTGGCCTGTTCTTCCCTGCTTCCAGAGCTGAAGGGTCACTCCACCCTGCCTCGTTTCCCCAGGCTGGACCATATCTGTACCCACCCCCCACCTCCCAGAGGCACTGGCTGCGCAGACTCGAGGGAGGGGGAGACAAGTTCCCCCTTGATCCCAGCCAGGCAACGCCTGGATTCCCTGCAGGTGGTGGGCGTGCGTCCTGTACCACCCTTCCGGTACTTTGACCCCTGACGAGTCCTCTGCACCCACTGGCTTCACCTGGGGCAGAAAGAGGCAGGAGAACCACGTCCTTACAGTCCGGGCCCCCAGTACCCCGCACAGAGATACTTGTGAGGACCTGTACTCCCCACGCGCGTCTCCAGTCAGAAGCTTCCGCGCCACGCGCTCTAACAAGCCTGAGGGCGGGGCCGCGGAGGAGGCGGGGTCACGAGGAAGGAGGTGGGTGGAGCTTTCGCGGACCGACCAACGGCGGCGGTGATGGGCGGGGCCCGGCGAGTGAGTAACGGCGAGGATAAAAGGCAAGGCAGAGAAGCTGGTTAAGGGCGTAGGCACGATTCTCCGTACGCCGAGAGCGGCTCGGCCGCGCGCACGCCGGGCATCCAGGCCGAGCCGGGAACGCCGAGAGCATGGCCGGCGCGGGCGCGAAGCGGCGCGCGGTGGCGGCCCCGGCGGCGGCGGCGGAGGAAGAGAAGCAGGCGCGGGAGAAGATGCTGGAGGGGCGGCGCGCGGACGGAGAGGACTCTGGGGGCGAAGGCGTGACTCTGCAGCGCAACATCACACTGCTCAACGGTGTGGCCATCATCGTGGGCACCATCATCGGCTCGGGCATCTTCGTAACGCCCACGGGCGTGCTCAAGGAGGCGGGCTCGCCCGGGTTGGCGCTGGTGGTGTGGGCTGTGTGCGGTGTCTTCTCCATCGTGGGCGCGCTCTGCTACGCCGAGCTGGGCACCACTATCTCCAAGTCCGGCGGCGACTACGCCTACATGTTGGAGGTCTACGGCTCGCTGCCCGCCTTCCTCAAGCTCTGGATTGAGCTGCTCATCATTCGACCCTCCTCGCAGTACATCGTGGCGCTGGTCTTCGCCACGTACCTGCTCAAGCCGATCTTCCCCACCTGTCCAGTGCCTGAGGAGGCAGCCAAGCTCGTGGCCTGCCTCTGCGTGCGTAAGTAGGGGTCCGGGTCTGGGCTGGAAGGGGCGGGCGAGTGCCGAGGTCCCTGCCCATACAGTTCATCCCGCGTGCCCACCCCAGCATCTTCCGTCTCTCTCAGCAGTTTCAGGCTAAAGTCACAGGTTCCCGTAGCCACGTGCGTTTCATTAACTCATTCACAGTGTCTACATTTTCGGGTCAGCCCTCGCGAGACCTCAGTGGGTGCCGCGGCGGTTCCCGACCTGATTGTGAATGACACGAATATGCAAGAGAAATACTCCCTACCTCTTTCAAAGCACCACGTGGAGTGTGTGTGTCAGTTTCCTGTTTCAGCTTCAATCGCTGACTGGTTACTAAGAGGGAAATTGCAGTTATAAAAAAAAAAAAAAAACAAACCCTTACGTTCTTCAGACTGGCCTGTCGGGAATTAGTGCTTGGGCTGACGCATGAGAAACGGTAGCAATAAACGTGTGTGGTAGTGAAAGCTGCTTGCTCATTAGAACTGAGCAGCAAAATCCTATAAAGACTGCCAATCAGTAAAGGACTGGTGCTTAGCTGTAGACAGTCTGTGGGTGGGCTTGGGGCTCCCAAGATGTGCCAGGTAACAGCTGCTGAGTGTAGGCCTTACAGAACTCATAGGTCAGGAGGGATTGTTTTCTGCTTTCTAAAGACAGTTGGGAGATTTTGCATGGGGGGGCGATGTGATCATTTGAAGCAAATGCCAGCTGATAGGGGGGACAACCTGGAAATCATGCTGCTTTCAGAATTTACAGATGAGTTCATTCAGCAAAGACAGATTTATCTGTTTGCCTGGATAATGGACACAAGGAGAGGGTGCCAGGGCAGCAGGGCCACACTTAAAGTTTGGGGTTTTGAGCCTTGGAGGTCACTGTCGGCACTGGAGGGGGTGCTGAATGGCAATGCTTGTTGGCACTTTGGTGTGAGACATGTCCCTTGTTGTAAGTTACATAGCCTTCAGGAGTGCTCTTCAGTTCTGAGACTTCAGCTCTGTGGTGCTGGCCAGAGACTGACAGGGTGATCACCATAAGGTCTCCATGGTCTCCATGCTGTTTGCTTGCTTCATGTGTAAAAAAAGAAATGGTCATAGTCACGGTTTAGTCAGCAAAAGCGCTGGGCTGGCCAGGAACAGCCTCGCCTTGGAACAGTGTGCATCACTGCCCTTGTTGGGTCAGAATTTGAACTATCCAGCTTTCACCATTAATTGCAATTACTTGGCCTTTAGGCAAGATAGGGAATGGCACTGGATTCTTTAGTGTTGCTTGTTTTTGAGACAGGGTCTCACTATGTAGCCCTGGCTGGCCCACAACTTGCCTCTTTCTGCTTCCCACGTGCAGGGAGTAAGTGTGTGCACCACCATGCCAAGTAGGCACGGGCATCTTTAAAGAACTCACACTCTGGTCAGAGTGGACATAGAAAGCTGGTTTCTGCTTCTGCAGATCCTAGTGAACTGTAGGAAACTATGCTTGCCCACGGGAGGCAGGGAGGGTGAAGGGTTTGCAAAGGTCCTCTCTTTTAAAGATGTTTTTCAGTGTTTCATTTTGCACACTGGTGGCGGTCAGATGGTACTTTACGGGAATCAGTTCTTTTCTTTCCACCACGTGAGTCCCTGGGATGGAACTCAGATCTTCATATTTGGCAGCAAGCCCTTTTATTCTCCGAACCATCTTGCTGGCCTAAATGCCTTCTTTCTAATAATAATAATAAAAAGCCGGCAGTGATGGTGCACGCCTTTAATCCCAGCACAGAGGCAGGCAGATCTGAGTTCCAGGCCACGCGAGCCTGGTCTACAGAGCTCCAGGACAGCCAGGGGCTACACAGAGAAACCCTGTCTTCAAGAAACCAAATAAAATAACGTGGATGGATAATTGTTTAAATATTGAACTTATGTAAACATGAGCTCCACCTTACTGTCACTCCAACCCTGTGGCTAATGGTAAGGTCCCAATTGGATCATAATAGACACCTTTTAAAGCCTGCGGGGACCCAACATGTTTAAACTCTTCAGGAAAGCTTCATTTAGGGTTCCAACAAACTTACGCAGCATTTGGGAGTTTCGAAGCCTTAAGGATGAACTGGGTGGGGGGGTGGGGGCATGACACGGGGGGGGGATAGTGAGGAGCTAGTGCCTTCCATGGAGCCTGCAGCAAGTCACTTTCTCAAGGACTTCTTTTGTGATCCAAGGGTTTGGTGGGGTTTTTTGTTTTGTTTTGTTTAAATTAAAAAATTATGTATATGAGTGTCTTGTCTGCATGTGTGTCTGTGTACACCTGTGTCCATTGCCTGTGGAAACCAGAAGAGAGAGTTACAGACAGCTGTAATCTACTATCTGGGTGCTGGGGATTGAACCCCAGTCCTCTGGAAGAGCACCCATTGCTTTTAACCATTGCTTCATTTCTCCAACCCCACGACACAGGGTTTTTAAAAACCATCTTATGTAGCTTTCTTACAATCCTTTGTGGCTGCTATGGGTAGAACCCTCTGGGAGGTTCTAGAATGGACATCCCATGGCCTGAGTTCTGGAGTGCCAAGGTGAGACCTGTCAGTCATCCTCTGTCTGCTTACTTGGTCTTCACTTGACAGGTGCTGCAGACAGTTCTGTTTCTGCGAACTACAGCTGTGTGTCTGCCGCTGCCTTCCAGTTGGAATGAGGGTTCTAGGCTCCCACAGGAGGGCCTCATCTATGCCTGCTTAAAACAGGCAGAAGTCTAGAAAGGGAGCTAGGCTTGGGAAGGCAAGAGGACCCCTAGTGGAGGCCAGAAGGGCTGGAAAGTCTTTCAGGGCCTGGGTGTTGGCTGGGGAGGCTTGTACTCTTGAGTACATGCCAGTGAGTGCCCTGTTCTTTCTGGAGGGCGCTTCTGGGGAACGTAGCATAGCGTTCCCTGGTTTCCATGCCTTGGGAAAGGCCCTGAGGCAGCACCAGGAGTCAGATTTTAGAGCAGAGGTCTGGTTTCTGTTGCTCGCGTGCTTGTCTCCTCCACGTGTTTCCTTTATCCAGTTAAGACTGTATTGGGAAATGACTTGACATTAGCCTAGAGTAAACCATGGTAGAGGTAGATGCCATCTCCCTTACAGTGAGCCTGGATCCCGCCCTGTATCCTTGGACCTGATGTGGGAAACTGGTAAGGAGTCTGTCTGTCTGTCTGTCTTTCGGGAGTTTTTTGTTTGTTTGCTTGTTTTGTGGCATTTTTAGACAGGGTTTCTCTGTAGCTTTGGAGCCTGTCCTGGAACTAGCTCTTGTAGACCAGGCTTGCCTCAAACTCACAAAGATCCACCTGCCTCTGCCTCCCGAGTGATGGGATTAAAGGCGTGCGCCACCACTGCGGGGGCGAGTGTTTCATAAAGATGAGAAGACTTGCTCTCCACATTTTCTGGATGGCCCTGTGCCTGTATGAGAGAGGCATGGGCTGTGTGGCTTGTTCTTGCCTAAGCGAAGCTCAGTAGCTTGTGTAGTGTCAAGTTGACTTGGAGCCCAGTGTCTTGGGTAAGTTTGTACTACGACAAACACAACACCATGACCAAAAGCAACTTGGAAGAAAAGAGGAAAAGGTTTTATTTCATCTTAACAACTTGTAGTCTGTCATTCAGAGAAGCCGGGGCAGGAACATAGAGGCAATAAATTGATGCAGAAGCCATGGAGGAATGTTGGTTCTTTATGGCTTGCCCGGCCTGCTTTTTTTTTTTTTTTTTTTTTTGGTGTTTCTGGGGAACCTGTCCTGGAACTCGCTCTTATAGACTAGGCTCGCCTTGAACTTCCAGAGATCTGCCGGCCTCTGCCCCCCGAGTGCTGGGATTAAAGGCTTGTGCCACCACTGCCCAGCTCCCAGCATTTTTTTTTAATGGCATCCAGGACCACCTGCACATTGGCACCCCTCCCCCTCCCCACGTGAGCTGCACCTTCCCATATGAGTCATTCACCAAGAAAATGCATGCATTATAGTCTTGCCTCCAGGCAGCTCTTCTGGGGTATTTTTTTCGATTTAGAGTCCTTCTACCCACATGACTCTAGCTTAGTGCCTGGATTTGTCCTGTTGTAGAATTCTACAAACTGGAGCTGAGATTCTGTCTGAGCTGGGATTTATCTAATCTCAAAGGGCCTCGGCTGTCTGTGCTGAGGTGTGCAGAGTGTAGCAGCCTAGACTCCAGAGCTATGCAGGCTTTGGGTGTGGCCAGTTCTCTCTGGAGAGAAGCCCCTAGAAGGAGGAGTCTGAGCAGGCTCACAGTTTCTCTGCCACTAGTCTCTTTTCCCAGACTCGTGAGTGTGAAGGTTGTGGCCCACAGACTAGTCTGCAACATCCTATCCTTTTCCTGGCTGGGTGGAGGATGGAACCTTACCTGCTAAAGTTTGATTTCAGGTGACTGGCTGGCCTGGACTCCCCAGTGCCAGGAAACTCACTACTCCTAACTCTCCACTAAATAGTCGGGCAGGACTTTCTTAGCTGGCATTTGCCTTGGGGACCTGTAACCTGAGCTGTTTCCCACCTGGTATCAGATTAGAAGCATTGAGTTTCTGATTGGAGAACTCCACAAGGACCCTCTGAACCTCCACTTGTAACTCTGTAGAATTAGGGTCCATCCTGCCTGGGTGTTGGTGGAGAGTTTTATTTAGCGTGCACCACCCGTCACACGGGATCCAAGTGTCATCTTCTGTGCTCTGTCCCATGTATCTGCGCCCTCTTCCCATGGAGCAGCCCCACTTCTGCTTTGAGAGAAGGGAGAAAGAATCTCTGGAGGATGTCAGCATTCTCCTTTCCTCTGAAGCTTGGGCTGCAGGGCATAAACTGCCCGTGGTGGGGTCTGGGTGAAGAAGTGTAGACTCCCGCTCAACCCTGCCTGGGTTTCCAATGGCCATTGGGCTGGCCAGGCTCTGCTGACCAGGTCAGTGGGTCAGTTGAGTAACAGCTAGAGAGGATGGGGATGGCCTGGCTTTTTGCCCTTTCTTTTCAAGTCACCTGCTGGTTTCTGTCCCCAGCAAGACTGCCTCTGCTGTAGACCCCACTCCTCAGTCCTGGGTTGGAGTTTCTGGGCACTGCCACTGCCATGGCTGGGCTGAGGCCAAGGCTCTGTTGTTCCTAAGGTGCCAGGGGCCCCAGTGTCTGGAGCCATAAGCCCAATACTGCTGACGACAGCTCAGGAATTAGCAGCGAAGTCGGCTTTCCCAGCCAGACATGAAAATGCATACACACTGAGCAGATGACACCCAGTCACGGGATCTGGAGCCCAGACATGAATAGTTCACAGAACCTGTGACCAGGACAGGCGAGAAACAAGGCAGGCATTTAGGCATTAAAGCATTCTAGCCCTTGGGGGGTGGGCGGATTATGCCCAGGCTCTCTGCCCAGGCTCTGAGGCACAGGTGAGGGCGAGCACCCTGAAAGTATTGCTTCTGGGTGGCACATTCCTGGCCTCTGTGTATTTCCTCTGCTAATCATTCCCACAGCTCACAGCTAGCTAAACTGAGTCAGGAGTTCGACTAGGAGCACCCAGCCACACCTCTGGGCAGGGTCTGTTACCTGTTGTGTCAGGGTTCTGGGGTGACCTTGGTCACGACATCCGGGAATCTATTCTGCTAGCGTAAGGGTGCGGGCTGCTCAGAGTTTTCAGTAGAGGAAGGGCTTCTTCCCTCTGGGTGTCTGTAGGAAGCTGGCCAGCCACCCCTCCTTCCCCCTGCCACAATCTCCACTGGGTTGGGCTTTACACAGCCATTGGTCCACCCCGGGAAGTCCTGGAGGTTGATGCCTCCTCCTTATTCACCTCTGGGACACTATAGGGGTGACACAGTGCCCCCACTCAGCAAGACTGGTCCCAGAGCCTTGTCGATTGCTGGCCGAGGGAAGCTGCCTCGAGAACAGTGTTCCATGTCCCGGGTCTTATCCATTCTAGTAGTGCGTGCCAGCCTCTGATAGATTCCCCTAGACACTTTTGCTCCTTCCAGTGCCCTGACCCAAGCGGAGGACTCACACCCAGCAGCCCTTTTCTCCTAGCAGTGTTCGGAGCTGTTGCTTTCGAGGTAGCCAGACACAGCACATCTGTGTGCCGTAGGGAGACGGAGAGCCTGAGATGTCTCATTCCTGAGCACCAGCTGTCACACCTGATACATACCACTGACTGGGTGCTTTTCTGTGCCGTGCCCACACTTCCCCTCTTCCAGGATTTGCTGCCATGCAAAGAATTAGCCGGATTTCCCATTCCAGTTCTCAGGAGCCTGGTGTGTGCAACCTGATCCACACTGAGTCATCTGACCTTGGGCCTGGCCAGCATCTGTCACTGCTAAGACCTCCTGGTGTGGCAGCTGCTCGTGGTCAGTGAGAGGCCTGCCTTCAGCTGCAGGAGCAGAAGGGTCTAGGAGTTCTCTGGGGTCTCATTAGCCTGGCTTGCGTGGGAGGATTCAGGGCCACAGAAATGGCCTAAGCCAGTACCTGACTGTGTCTTGAGCTGTGAGTCCCCTAGACTTGTGTGTGGCCCAGGGTGGGATTGACAGTTCTCAAGGCAATGGGTTAGGTAGAGCCTGCAGGGGCACACCTGCTGAGCGGAACAGTTTCCTAAAGTGCTGACTGCGGTGTCCTGGATTGTTAGGCCCAGTCAGCTGGCAACTCCCCTAAGCCCAGAGATTCTGCCCTGGCTGTTCTCACTGCACCTTTTGGATCTGACTGAGATGGAGAGGGGCCTTGGAGTCTGTGTCAGCGTCCACCTCGGCAGAAGTCAGCTGGGGGTTCCCTGGGAGGGAGGACTGAGCTGAGGAAATGTTAGATGAAGAGAGAAGACAGAAACATAGGATAGACCCAGAGGACCAAATAATACCAGACAGCCCTGAGTTTATTTCTCAGGCATCATATATACTACAAGCAAAAGGCAGAACAAAGAGCAGTACAGCCAGCTGACCACCCCCCTGCACTGTCCTTGGGAGGAAGTTCAAGCAGGTGCATTATCTTATTCAGCTGAGTAGCTTCTAATCTCTAATGAGGAGTGCCTCTGGCTGGCACACACCAGCCCAAATCTTAGTAGAAAAATGTGCTCTTTCAACTGGGCAAAAATGATCTTTCTATGGGCTACACAGATGTTACTCAGAGCCCTCAAGGTTACTGGAAGAAGCAGAGTCGCAAGCTTGAACTCAAATGACTTCAAGTCAGAAATGACTCCAGATGGAAACCGAGTCACACGTGAGCTCTCCCACACATTCCCCCTCTCAGTCCCTCAGAAGACTGTGTCTGCCTTGGAGGTTCCTTACGTACTCTAGTCTTACCGTCACGGGAAAATGGATCCTAGAGGTCCACCTTCTGTCTTAGGTCGAAAAGAGGCAAAGAAAACTCACCTGTCTCTGATTGACAGTCTCTGGCAATAAGTTTTTTAGGGAAGTGTGCTTTTACTCCATGAGGTTCTTAGCCCACTATCTACAGTGAGTTCATACTCAGCTTGAAAACTACAGGTAAACAAATTATGTCCAAAAGAACACAAGCTCCAGCAACTGCAGTTCTACTAAGAAGTGAAGTTAGTGCTGACCATGATGCAACAGCCTTCTTAAATTTCTCCAAAATACCTTCAGCTGCTTTTGCTGCATCCAAATCTAATTTAGCCTTTTTCAATTTCAAAATGTCTTGGTGTAATTTAGCCAAATCTAAAGATCCGTTAGAATCATGCCAGATTCCCTCAGGATGTGTTTTAACTCTCTCCCAAACGAGAACGCTTGCATTATACACAGACACGGATCCGTTCATAGTTAGCTTGACATCTCAGCTGTGCTCTGGTCTTTAGGCTGTGGAGCTCATCTCCCAGAGATTGTACCACATCAAACAAGGCACTCACTTTTGTTCCATTTTTACATCTGTATCTTGTGTCTCCAATGCCATAGAAACATTCTTAGGTAATTGATTAGCAAGCCCTGCATTTGAATAGACTGAGACAAAGCCACTGAAGCCGCTGCAGTAGCAGTGAGCATAGCAACAGGAGCAGACATTCGTGTTACAACTAATCCAGCAGCACGTTTCTGTCTGCTTAAAGCTTTCTTGATTTCTTCAATTACTTGTAACTCTTTGTCATCAAACCATGGATCATTTACATGCAGACAGCATTACAAAGGAAGGTTGGCTGAGTGGTGGTGGGGGTGCACCTTTAATCCCAGTACTTGGGAGGCAGAGGCAGGTGGATCTCTGTGAGTTTGAGGCCAGCCTGGTCTACAAGAGTTAGTTCCAGTACAGGTTCTAAAGATACAGAGAAACCCTGTCTCGACCCCCCCTCCCCCAAAAAAAGAGGTTGTTTTAACACTTAATACATGGGTATGATCATTACTTGACAATTAGTCAAAATGCATTCAAGACATGATACATTAAGCAACATTCATGGAGATTTTTACCTCTCCCACCAAAGGAACGTTTAACACAATGCACTTTAACACAAGCCAAACAATAAGGCACTTTAACACAAGCCAAACAGTTCCTTTCAGGGGCAAACAGGTTTTGAAGAACTGGATTGTCCTGCCACTTTTCCCGTGGCAGCAGCAAGTTTCCAAATGTAAGTCTGTGGAAATTTTATACTGGAATACCAGATTCCAGTTCACATTCCTTGGTCTCAAGATTCTGCTGCAGACAAACGATAAGAATCACTATAGTCCGCTTGATTTCCAGATCAGTCTGGAATGTACCGTGATGTCCCTGTGATGTTGCACTTTAATGGGTTAATGCCAGTCCGTCATCTCCACTCTAAAGTTCTGTTAGACTCTCTCAGTTACTTTGTGCATGGAGGTTACCGTTGAGGGGGTGAAGTATTGATTAGTCTTGAGCAAATGATGTGGTGGTGCTTTCCTGCCGAAGTCTATTCATGACAGATTGCTCGCAGACAACCACATTTTAAAAGTTTAAATTTTAAAATAAAATGCATACATGGTAACTGGGTATAGCCCTAACACCCTCTTTTCTATTATGTTTGTTTGTTTGTTTGTTTGTTTTTTATTTTTTTCGAGACAGGGTTTCTCCGTAGCTTTTTGGTTCCTGTCCTGGAACTAGCTCTTGTAGACCAGGCTGGCCTTGAACTCACAGAGATCCCCCTGCCTCTCTGCCTCCCAAGTGCTGGGATTAAAGGCGTGCCACCACCGCCCGGCTTTTCTATTTTTTAATTGAGCCTTAAGACTCCCGTGTGCCCTTTCAAAGTCCTTTCCCCTGCATAGTACATCGTCTCAAATCCCTGAGATGAGTTTGTTCCAGAAGCTGATGTTGGGGTTTTAGCATCATTAGTTTAATGGCACCCAGACAGGAATTACCATTTATACAATGCGTCAGTGACCAAAATCCCTGTGATGATTGTCAGAGAAATTCCCTTTTTATCTAATATTCCAGAGAGGGAACAGGGATGATGTATTCATTTCTGTAATTACTTTCTGCTAATCTTAGGACATTGTTCTCAGGGCCCTGGAAGGCCAGAATGTTAGTCAAAGGTAATGGGGAACTTAGAAGCATCTGGTTCATAGACAACCTGAAAAGACAGCAATCACATTGGCTGGATTGGTCCACGTCAGGTTTTAGCAAGTTCAGGACTCGTAGTCATTTGGAGCAGGTTGTTGATTGATGCTTGGGTGTGTTTGTCTCCCAAGTGGGAACCTGGTGAGACAGATACAGACTGGGAACAGAAGTTAAATTCATGGACTCATTTGAAAATTGTAAATGCATAGTCTCAATAATTAAGGAAGGGGAAGAGTCCCAAGACCAGGAGAGAGAGAAAAATACCATAATCCTTTTACCTTGTGAGAAGTGGCTCCAAGTTTTATAATTCTCTCCATTTTCTGAAGTTTGTATGAATCTCCATTTTATAAAAAGAAAAGTATAAAAGTTTTCGATATATTAGCGTTATCAATCTGTACTGAAATCCATAGTGTAGACAAAGCAGGCAATAGGTATCCATAAAACAACAGGAACAAACTCCATCCTTGAGTCCTAGCAAATACTATAGATTTGGGCTAAACAGCATATAACCTATGTTCAGAAGACAACCAAAAGAAATTTAAAATCTTGAGCTTGTGACCCAAACAGTAAGCAGTCGTTGCTCTATTAGCTTGTCAGAACACTATTAATGTTAAATTCCGAAGTTTTGTAGTCCTAGTATAATAACTGTGGAAGGGGAAAGAAATCTTGTAATAATTTCTATATACATCTTAAGCCATTATTTCTTACAAATTGTATCTATATTTTTGAGAATATCCTCTCAGATCCATATAATCCAAGCTTTTATGCCTTCAGAGCCTTCTAACCTGTATTGATGTCCTCAGGCCTTTATATATTTTAGACCCTCAGAATTAATATAGACTCATAAACATTTTGTCCTATTATTAACCATCATAGGAGCAGTTAGACTGCAGTTTCCATTCATGGATCATAGACATAATGTTGACAGTTTTTAAGAAATATGTCTGAACTTCTCTATGGAAGTCCGAATAGACAAGAGCTTTAGCTTGTCATTTCATGGGAGGTCAATCATATAAAACCATATAACTCAGAGGGTTGCAATATGATGATTAATTAATACTTGTATTTAGGACCTCAGTCTTCCTTCTTTAGAGAACACGATCCCATTATTAGCATAACTACTCTGCAGTGACGAATACCAGCCTCGCTAATGAAGAAAATCAACCAGAATTAACATGGTAAAATCTCCAGCGTTTTTATAGTTTTCTTTTAAACTCAGCATTGCTCATAGACAAATTCATTTCCCTACTTTATTTCACTCTCTTGTTTGTGCCCTTATCCTTCAGACAGCATGCAAATCTCCATCAATGCCTCCTTCTGATTTCTTTCAGTGGTCCAGAATATTGCATAGATAACATTTCAAACAAGAGCCAAAATATAATATATATATTTATGTATGTATGTATCACAATAAGAATAACTTAAATATACATTGATATATAAAAACCTGTACCAGTGTGAAACTTTTGAAACTAGCAGTTTTCTTTATCTTAATCCCGATGACAAATATTTGTAACCCATCAGATCTAAATAACTAAAACCCATATTTTTTTTCCTGTGGAAACGAAAGCACATTTTCCCCCCAAACATTGTGCATCTTTGACTTTTAGTTTAAAATCAACGCTTCCCAAAGTGTACTGGTTGTTATGAGTCAACATTTTTTTTCAAGCAGTATCAGGACAGAGAAGAGTTAAGATGAGAAACTGCTGGCCAGCAGAAGAGACCTTGAGTGTTATCACAGTGAAGAAGAACTTGGCTTAGAAAAGAAAAGAGGAGCAGCGCTGGTGGGCACAGAGTATCCTTGATTGCCAGGATTCCTGAAAAATAATTTGATAACTTCTCCAGCCACAATTTCAGATTCTCTGTTTCACATTCATGCAGTTTTTCAACTGCAAGCAGTCAGTGGTCTGCCGCCCCGTACGCATGAGCATGTCTTTCCAGAGTCGCTGCTCTGCCCAGCTCAGCCTGTGCACACACCGCCTTGAAGGAGTGGGGTGGCCCTTGCCGTACTTCTCCGTTGAGAAGTTTTTCTTCAGAACCCAAAGTTTTGGAACTTATGCAATAAAAATGCACAGGAGGCTAGAGCAGCCTGCCTCATGTCTAGGATAATGAAGAAGATTGATAGACATAGTGACAAACAGGTACTGGTACCACTTAAGCTTTTCAAAGACACAACACATAAAACAGAACAGCAACATAGTAAAAGTCTAAACTCAGACAAAGAGCGCTCATTTATTCACACGCCTTTTTAAATCTCTAGACTCACGCTCCCTTCCACAGGGAGCCTGGAGCACACATCCTTTACACATTTCAAAAACTGAAGCAATTGCTGTTGTCCTTCCTCAGTGCCCCAACCTTTGAAATCTCTATAAGGAATGCTCAAACTCTAGAAATTGAGACAGTTGTTGATGCTTTACCTTAGCATCTCTGGCTTTTAAAGTATTGCTAAGTAAACTAGTACAAAGAACTGTTTACCAGTTCCTTGGTCTGTAGCTACTTTTTATACTTATACTCAAGTTACTTCTTATTTACACTTATACTCGATTACTTCTTATACTTTTCTCACACTGCTCAGCCATCCTCTTTTGTATGTAGACCCGTGCATCTACTTACCTTTGTATTTACATCGCAGGGCTCCCGGTGAGGCTCGCCATAGAACTAACTCCCTTTTACTGAGTGCCCTCTTTCACCCCACGGCGACCGTCACGTTGGTGTCCTGTCGTTCCCCCCCCCCCCCCCCCCCCCCCCCCCCCCCCCCCCCCCCCCCCCCCCCCCCCCCCCCCCCCNCCATACTTGGCACCACTCTGTCAGAGTCCACTCCGGTCAAAATCTGCTGGGGGTTCCTTTGGAGGGAACGCTGAGCTGAGGAAATGTTTGATGAAGAGAAATGAAGACAGAAACATAGGATAGACCTGGAGGACCGAAAGCTAATACCAAACAGCCCCGAGTTTATTTCTCAGGCATCATATATACTACAGGCAAAAAGCAGAACAAAGAGCAGTACAGCCAGCTGACCACCTCCCTGCACTGTCCCTGGGAGGAAGTTCAAGCAGGTGCATTATCTTATTCAGCTAAGCAACTTCTAATCTCTAACGAGGAGTGCCTCTGGCTGGCACACACCAGCCCAAATCTTAGTAGAAAAAAGTGTGCTCTTTCAGCTGGGCAAAAATGATCTTTCTATGGGTTAACACAGCCTGACTCAAAGTTACTGGGAGAAGCAGAGTAGGCAAGCTTGAACTCAAATGACTTCAAGTTAGAAATGACTCCAGATGGAAACTGAGTCACACATGCGCTCCCACAAATCTGTTATTAAGAGCTACATCCCCCCCCCACTCTAACACACAGGTTGCATGCATCCTAGTGACACTTGAATGTACCCTGACATTCAGCAAGTTTATCGTAGTGTTTGCTGCCATCTGCCATCCACACTTCAAATATCCAGACACACACACAGACCCCTGCAGCTAGACTGCTCTAGTACTGCATTAGGGACATCAAGGTTAGTCCTAGGACAGGCTGTGGTACTTAGGGGTCTGGGTGCCTCCTTCCCCACGAACTGCTGTGTGCTGGAGCAGGTCTGACTCGCTTTTTCCTGATAGCTTCACCCATGGAGGAATTGGGGGTGCCATCCGTAGATGTGTGAATCTGCACTTAGCTGGTGGTGAGGAGCCCTTATCACTTCATACACAGCTTCGTTTCTGTGGGTACTCAGCATTGCAGGGATCAGATTAAAAGGGCCACAAAGCCCAAATGGGATTTAAGCCATATGGTAGTAGTTGGGGCTTTGCTTGTGGAATGGGCAGCAGAGGCTTAGAGGCGCTAGGTATGCTATGGAGGCCAGACAGCCTTTTGGAGCTGCCAGGAACCCTTCAGACCTCTGTCTTGAGAAGTCTTAGGAAGTCGCGCGGGGGGGGGGGGGGGGGGGGGGGGGGGGGGGGGGGGGGGGGGGGTCAGAGTGGGTGTTTTCCTCAGCCCAGGACTTAGGTGTTAGTGAATTTCAGTTTATTAAGCTGACGTTTTCTGGCCCATTGAAAAGATATGCCAGGCCTGTTTGAACAGTCTCTGGTTCCTGCCCCCCTGGAACTGTATTTGGTTGGCTAGTGCTAAGTGTGTGCTTGGTGTATATGAGGTCTCTTTCCCACCCCCACAGCAAGAGAAAGGTAATGGAGAAGCCACATAGACTTGAGCCTGAGGGCGGAACACGGGAATTAGAACAAGTGCAACCAGCCTGCTAGTCACCATATCCATAGAACATTGGAGACTCCATAGCAGAACTGTCCTCTGCCAAGACATGCTTGTCACCTATCCGAGTGACAGCCTATGCTGGAGTTGCCTCACACCATGCGGGTTTCCTGACCTCAGTGGCCAGAAGTGGAGAAGGCCAGTGCAGCCACGTGTTTTCTCTGGAACCCAGGAAAGGAAGCCTAGAGAAGTCACCCACTGGTGTGTGAGTGGGTGCCCTGGGCTAGTGACCTCATCATGTGGGATCTTGCTGATTGCAGCTCAGCTGTCTTGGACTTAGCTGGGTAGAAGGTATAGTCAGTTTGTTTCTCCCAGCGCCTGGGGAGCCTGGCCAGATGAGTGCTAGGGTGACTGGCCACCAGACATCCCCCCATTTACTGCGAAGCAGACGCTGAATCAGTGCACAGAGGGGTTCACTGAGGCTTTTGTGGGCTCTCTCTGGGAGACTTGAGTGGGGCATTGGAGACACCTAGACTTTAAGGAGTCAGGAGATGCTGCTGGTCCTCAGGGAGTCCTGTATTCACCAGCGGGGTTGCCCACTAGTCTTGGGTCCCTGTGTGTCCTGACTGGATTCAGATGGAACCACTTGCAGGAGCCAGACTCACTTCCAGACAGAGTCCCAGTTCTACTGCCGACTGTTGTTTGATGAGAACGCTGCTGAGTGGGATCTGAGGCAGCCCACACTCAAACCTTAGTCCAGCTACTGGTCCAGGGCGAGAAGTGCCCTGAGGGACAACCCAGCCATGCTTCCTGGAACCAGTGAAGCCACCAACCACTTCCTCTACCCTCCCTCAGGAGCCTTGAGATATTTGGTGCTGCTGGGGGAGTCTGGGCAGGACCAGCCTCATTTGCCTGGTGAGTTTCTACCACCTGCTTATTGGTATATGTGAGGCAGCAGCTCCTCGGTGGCTGTCTATGCCCTGAGTATGATTCTCAAGAGGAAAGATCCTAGTACCTTCATACAGACCCCATTCAGAACAGAAGACTGTATCCACACAGTGTCCTGGTGCCTAATGCCCTCCCAGCTGTGGGTGTCAGGGTGACCCTAAGGCTTCTTCCATGACTGAGACACTGTGTTCTGGTGACCTAGCCAGACAGTAAAGGATCTCTGGCACACGGCACCTCTGTAAGGTGTGAGCCATGGAGCCCTGTGCTATGACCATGCAGCTGGCTAGGGATGAAACTAACATGCCGTGTGAACAGTCATTATTAGGCCTGTGGGATGAGGGCCTGGCCTGCCAGCTATCTAGCTATCTGCACCCAGTATGAGGCTCTGGGCTTTATCTCACTGGCCCAGCTGGTGCCGAGAGCCAGCACAACCACACTTATCTAGGGGTACCGAGTGGGGAACTCCAAAGAGGACCAACTTCCACCCTCTATGCTCTGGCCATGCTTATCCCCCTGCCAGAGGCTGTGTATCAACAGCAGTGGGTCAAAGCAGTCAGTCATGCTGCCTGTGTCTCTGATGGGGAAACAGTGGAGAGGCGGCAGATTGTCTGGGTAGAGAACTGAGGTTCCTTCCGGTCAGCCTTCTGAGTACCTCATGACAGTGTCTTGTGAAGGCCAGGAGCCTCTGGATTCAGATGAATTCACTCATTTGGTCCAGATTATTTTGTTTGGAAAACAGGGCTGTGGGAAATAATAATAGTCTTGTTTGCTGGTTACCGAGTCAGTGAGCATTACCGTTTCCTCACCTGCTTTGGTTTTCATAAGAGACAGTATAGAGTTCCTTTTGTTCTGTCTTATTCTAAGGTCAGGGAAGTCAGCAGCTAGGAAGGAAGAGTTCAGCCCCAATTGCCAAGGCCTGGCACGTGCTGGCCCTCCTCCGTCCACTTGGCCAGGAGTGAGGCTGTTTTAGGCTTGGCCCTCAGGCATGGCAGGGTGTTGGCGCAGTAGGGGAGGGGCCCTCTGACAGCCAGGATGGTGCGCTGACACACTGTTCCCTTCCCTTCCTCAGAGGCTCAGAGGGACACCTCACATGGGGCGACTCAGCAAAGACATTATCTGGAGCCCAGGGTTCTGTCATATTTTTCCTTCAGCTGCCAAGGCTGTGGCGCTGTGAGGCTTAGGACTTAGGCACACCCCTCCTGCTGGCTCACCCCAGACAAATAGGATCTGAGAAGTGATGCAATCTGCCAGCCTCTTGAGACGGGGTCAGGAGAGACTTGGCATCCTGGGCTTTGTGTCTCACCTCTCAGGACATGTGAGACTGTCTCAGGAAAGCTGGCTGGAAGAACGGTGTCCTCTGGGTAAAGGAACAAAGGCTGCTGGTGGGGAGGCATTTCAAAGGGGACTCGTGTTCATCCTGCATGCCCTTCTCATCCTTTCACTCTGGGAGACGGGAGAGTTTTCAAGCAGGTCTTTGTAGTAGCTGCAGCTCCCCAGCCAGTGGAGCTTTCTCTGAGCACAGTCCCAGCCCGAGTTGCATCAGCCAGAGCTATAAAGAGGGAGGTGACTCAATGCTAATGAATCTGACTTCCTGAAGGTAAAGCAACTGCCACAGTTTCCATCCCCCAGCACTAGGGAGTCTTCCTGTTTCCCTTCCACCTGAGGTTGGCCAAGTTCAGATAATTAATGTGGATTTCTGTCTTTGGGTCTATTTCCCAAACTGCAAAATTATGTGTAATTAGTCTGGCTAGGGGAAAGTACCTCCCTGCATCTGGGAGGCCTAGGCTTCTCTGGAAATTGCTCAGTAGGGAAGCAATGAGCTTCTTCCTACATCCTGGAGAAGTCAGGATGCTGGTAGACCCCTACCTTGCTGTGGGCATCTTAGGCTGCATGCTGTTCTGGTTAATGTTTGGCCAAGGCAAGCCAGGAACTGCCCCCTCCCCCAGAGTAGAGTGTAGAGGCTTCCTAGCTCTCTTGGCAACAGAGCTGAGGAAGCTGGGGTCTCTAGTATGGGGACCCAGCTGCTTCCAAGGTGGTGGAGTCAGTATGGTTGGTTTCTCGGTGTTTTCATTTATGTTTCCATAATGAAACAGTGTTGAATCCCCAGTTCCTTGCTCCACACCTATGCACTCTTGCCAAGGTCTTGGGGTTCATTAGGGGACCAGGCAGTTCCTATCTCAGCTGCCTATCTGCAGCCCTTCTGGATCCCCGAGGCTCTGCCTTCACACTGTGTGTCCAGTTGCTCAGATGTCTACACAATATTAATTGTGCTTTTCATGTTCAATATATGCCAGTCAAACAGCAGCTGGCAAATGTGTCTATTTTGCCATGCCCTGAGCCCACCTGCTTGCAGCAACACATGGGGACGTCTGTTCCGTTCGGTCCTCACCTGCAGCCTCTGCCCCTATGGCCCCAGTGCTCTCGGCTTATCAGATTTACACAGACAGGATGTCTCATCTCCCTGCTTCCACTAGCCCCATGGAAGGCCATCTTTGAGGAGAGGGTTGCCTCACAGCTTACGGTGCTGTCAGAGAACCATGTAGGTACCAGGGTTAAGTGGCCATCCTCCAAGTGGCAGGTTTGGATTTCTCTTGTGCCTGCAGCCAGTGCTCTCCACAGGATCAGGTACACATAGGTAACAGATGAAGGCGGTTCTGATGGGGAGTCCCTCAGGAGGCTGAGACCACTCAGTCACATGGAAATCTTAGCCAGGCATGGTGGCACACGTCTAATCCCAGCCCTCAGGAAGCTGGAGCAGAGGATCCAGAGTTGGGGCCCTTTCTAAAAAGGCCCAGGTGATAGTAATTCTAAAAATGGGGGTGGGAATGGGGATAGGTGGCGTAGCCTTTCCAGCCAGCACTAAGAGGGGTTTGACAGAGTTTGAGCCTAGCCTAAGCTACAAGGTAAGAAGACCCTGTCTATGAAAACCAAAAAGAAGAGCCGGGCAGTGGTGGCACACGCCTTTAATCATGGTACTCAGGAGGCAGAGGCAGGTGGATCTCTGTGAGTTGGAGGCAGCCTGGTCTACAAGAGCTAGTTCTGGGACAGAGAAACCCTGTCTCGAAAAACCAAAAAGAAGGAAGATGAAAGGAAACTTGTTGCAGGTTTTCCAGGGCACCTGGGATCAGGCTCTTTGAAGAGTTGGCGTTTCTAACCTTTGACCCTAGCCCCAGAGAACCAACTAGCTTATCAAAACCCACAGGGCAGGCAGGGCTTTGCCTCTGTGGGATCCCAGCCAGAAGCACCTGACCTCCTCTGTGCCCCAACCCTGGACTGGAGCGCCTGCCCTGTGGGGTCTCACGCTTTCCTCTCCCTGTTCTTTCCCACAGTGCTGCTCACGGCTGTGAACTGCTACAGCGTGAAGGCCGCCACCCGCGTGCAGGACGCCTTTGCTGCTGCCAAGCTGCTGGCCCTGGCTCTCATCATCCTGCTTGGCTTCATCCAGATGGGAAAGGGTGAGTGACTGGACATGTGACACCTCCTATGTGTCATGTATGTCCCCTACCCCCCAGTGCGGCAAGAAGTTGGCCTGGCCTCCTTGACTACCTCACCTGGAACACTGAGTTGGGTCCAGGGAAAGCTGAATGGCAGAAGGAGCTGTGAGCTCCGAGTGTATACAAGACCCTGACTCTCACTAGTGGGCAGGAGTCTGGAGCCTCTGGGGAGTCTGTGCAGGAAGTTGGGGGATCAGAGCTTCCACCTGGCAGGGTTTCATCCACCATAACACCCCTTCCCCTGCTTCATGACCAGCATATCCCACATGTGGGTCTCTCTGGGGACTGATTTTTTTTTCTCTGTCCAGAAGCGTGACTCCTAGTGGTTCCCATGCCTGTGTGTCCAGGGACTGTGTGGCAGGCGTCGGGAGCTAGATTTCAACAACATACAAAGAGTGTCTTCAGGATTCAAGCCCTCACAGTGTGTTCAGATGCGGGGCCCAGTGGCTGGACAGCCGATAAGGAACACAGGGAACAGGCCTGGAAGGCAGGAGCACTGTTTTAATTTAAACATGTCAGTGGGTATAAAAGCAAGGCAAACCTCTGACATCTTGCCGCTTAGACAGGCCCTGCTGGCATGAGGAGTGTAGGGCAGCAGGTTAAGACTGCATGGACTTTGGTCTCACTGTATGAACTTGGGGGGGGGGGGATCATCTTTTCCCCTGCTGCCTTCTCAGGCTGCTGGAAGGGGTGAAGGGGAAAGGGAGGCATTTACCACACAAGGTAATGTGTTGTCTGTGTTCCCTGTGATCCGCAAGCCATGTGGTGCTCTGCCCGCTGTCTAGAAATCCCAGTACAGGCACACTCATGTCTGTCTGTCTTCTCTCTTTGCCCACCTATTTTTCTTCGCTATGTAATTAATAGTCCACAGTAAATGTGTATGGAGTATATTAAGACGTCCCTTTTTGGGAGATAGAAGCACAGATGTCTGGGTTTTGAATTCCCGCCTTTATGGGGTGAGGGGGAGGCCCTGCAGCTCAAGCCCAGCTCAGGGCCCCTGTTTGCAATCCTCTGCATTTCTCTCAGTCGCTGAAGCAGCCTCAATGAAGAATGGCTAGGAGCTGGCTGAGCTCCTGCTGAGCGTGGTGGTGTATAGTGGCCATTGCTGCCCCAGGAAGTTAGGGACGCTGCTTAGGCAGAGTCACACACTTGGCCGCAGCCAGTGCTCAGCATCAGTTACCAGGAGCTGTGGAGGAAGCCCTGGTCCTGGAGTTGCTCTGGGGCGGAGGCAGCGGGGACCTTATTCTTTCTTTCACAGATAAGAGCAGACTCCACACAGAGCTGGCGTTGACTGGGTCTGCCTCCTTTTCTGATCCTTCCATTTGTATAAAGTCCCAAATCCCTAGGTACAGGGATTTAAGACTTTCAGCTTACCTTCATGGGGCAGTAGCTACTGTCTTCCTTACAGCAGCCCAACCCCTCCCATGCTAAGGCCTCCTGATTGACCTGAGAGGATGCGAGTGGGGCGTCTGTGATGGAGTCAGGTCAGTTCTCTACCTTCCTCCTCTGTGGAGCCTCGCCCAGGAACACGCATCCACAGGTGCTTGGAGAAGCCTGAGGTCTGGGTTCTGCCCTCCTGCAGGGGTGGGCACTGTCTGCAAGGAACTCCACGTCCTTCCCTGTGGCAGAGGTCCACATGACCTCGTTCATCTGTTCAGTATTTACGTGTGGCTGTAACCATTGGGCACTATGCTAAGGGTGATGAAAACTCTAGAATATGGCCCAGGTGATGCTTCCACAGCGGGGCCCAGTCTGTCAGGAATGTCTGGGGAGGGTTATCAGGGGTATGTGAACTGCCCACCTGGAGTCCTGCAGCAGAGTGTCCCAAGGCCTTCGCTAATTCACCTACCAGGAACCTTCATGAGGCTCCAGAGGGTCCTTTCCAGATGCATTTGGGAGGCTGTTCGCATTTCTGGGAGTCTGGTTGGCAAGGTTCTCCCTCAGGCACAGAGGTGCTGGCTAGCGGCCAGGGACGGAATTGGGTTGAGCATCACCTGGACACCCAGGGGAGTGGTCCAGGCCTGTTTTACAGGCAGAAGGGATTGTATTCTGTGCTCACAGCCCCAGTCACACTGCACAGCATGTGGCTGGAGGTGGGAGTGCGTGCAGAGGCTGAGGAGATTCAGACACTGAGGAATTCAGTACCGGAACACGGTGTCAGTGAAAACAAACTTGAGCAGGGGACAGCAGAGCTTTTGTCAGGCTTGAATGCACAATGTGTTTACAATTCCGGTGGCTGTGGCAAGCACGCCCTACGCCCCCAGCAGTTCCTTTCTGAGTCCTGGACTCAATGCAGAGTCTGCAAAATTCCTGTGCGGGTTTCCTCCCGGGGTTTGTTCTGTTACCCAGATGGAGGCCTTGGCCTCTAAGGACAGTGTTGGAATGCTGACCCCCTCTCCAGAGCGCTTGCCCACCCTTGTTTCCCACTGGGCACAGAGTCCTAGGAGGACTGTGGTGATCGCCAGGTCCTTGAAGGCAGAGACCCTGGCTCTGGGCGTGTGTGTGAGCCTGCTTTAACAGACAGCCTCTGGGTCTGGGACATGGTGGTTATTTCCACCTCATCGCCCATCCCAGCCCTCTGCTGACCCTACTGCCCAGGCTATATTTCCTCATCAGGAAAGGTGATAAACCTGTGGCCAGTTGTTGGCTCCTTCTATGCTGCCAGCCTTCCACAGAATCTCCACACCCCCCGCCCCCTTGTGGGATCCAGTGAGGACTGGGCTTGCAGTTCAGAGCTTCTGTCACTGTGAAAAGGCATAAGCTAGCCACAAGAGAGTGCAGACAGAGGAGACAGGGCGCTGACCCTGCTTGGGAAAGTCCTCCTCAGCATCTTGCTGCCCAGGTCCCAGGAGGGAGTACAAGCAATGGAGGCGCCATGACTGCCCCTGCTGCCTATCAGGCTGGGGAGAACTCAGCCTATCGCTGGTATCACAGGGTATCTGCACTTGGTCCAGCGTTCTCAGAAGTGCAGACGGTGCCTAGAATGGTCTTAGATCTCACTGGCCGTGACTGGATTTGTGGGTGGAAATGGGTGAATTGTGGTGGTGGCAGCTTGGCCAGTGTGACCCCAGAGAGAAACCCTCGGACAGCCTCGAAGACCTAAGTAAGGGAGACAGCAGATGACAGACATGGTGGGCAGGAACTCCACTGTCCTTCACCTGCCGTGTCCCTTTCTAGTTAACTGGCCTCTCACCCACAGCATCCAGAAGGGGTTATGGCTTGATGTCAGACTGTTCCCAAACACAAGTGGGTGCCAGGCCTTCTCCTCAAGGGTAGACATGGGAGTGGGTTATGAAAGGTTCTTCCCTTGTGCCCATTGATGGGTACAGGTCATCAGAGGACCCAAAGTAGCTCTGTTGTAATTCTGCTTAGTATGTACTGCACAGCAAAAGGACAGATTGACCTCCCTGGGACAGCTTGCAGATGATCGTGTCCGAGAACACCTTCCTCCTTTTCTCCCACGTAGGCTGGAGAAGGGACTTTACTGCCGGGCACATCCTTGCAATGTGAGGCAGTCTTCATTAGCCTGAGCCGTCAGTGAGTGGTCACCTGCTCTGCCAGCGGTCGTCACGGGAGGGGAAGTGATGCCCTTGTATGCTGGCATGAGTAAACAGCAACATGTGGGCTCCTCAACTGTATGTTAGCTGTGTCCTTGGTCAGTAGGTAACAACGTCCCATGCCTGGCTCAGGAGACTAGGTCTGCCTCATGTTTCATGGGCTTCAAAATGATTTTTGTTTGTGTCTTAGTGAGAGGTAGGATATCATATACTGGGTCCTGCACCTCAGGGGTGGTCTTACTGTAGCCATAGGCATAGCATGCAGGATTGCAATACTGTGCTGGCGTGCTGAGGTCCCGTTGCTTGTGAGGAAGGCTGGTAGCCAAGATCTGGAATGGCTGGCATGGTGGCCTGGATCAGCAGCACTCTTGAGAGCTCAGCTGGGACCTGTTTCCTGCAAGGATAAAGGCGGCAGCATCAGGTGGTTGGTGCCAAGGAACTGTCCCGTGAGGCATCCTCACACAAGAGCACTCTGTGTCTTGTGGTATCAGAGCCTCCTCTGAAGTCCCTTATCACTTTCCGTGGGGGTTCTGTGTCCATGTGCAGGCACACTGCGGTCAGGGCTGTAGGACTTCAGTTGCTATGCCAGAAAGTAGGATAAACAGCCTGGAGCCTCCAAAGCCACCCGGGGAGGCCTGGGGACATGTTTGGGGAAGGAGGTGTCTACTCGTCTATCTACCTCCAAAGCCGTCTTTGGAGGGGTACCTTCAGGCTAGCCTCAACTCCACTGGGGGATTTAGGGTATGGATTATTGTGGAGCAGCTTTTCAAGCTTTGGACATAGTAGGACCAGCTGGACATGATGTCCAAGGCCTCCACGCACTCCCTCCAGATGCAAGCCAAGCTTGCTCAGTCCTCCACATGGGTGTCCTGTGCCCTGGTCACAGGACTCTCCCTCCTGGGACCCCCAAGAGGTGCAGGCTATATGGACTCCTCCTTGTGGCCACTTCGTCTGTGCCACTTGGAAGGATTTCATCCGCAGAGGCTTTCTTTCCAAGTAAATGTGTGTCTGCAGAAACTGGCAGACCCACAGTTAGCCGAGTGGTGTGTAATCCCAAAGCCTGTAGAAGGGCGGAAGGTGGGGCTCAGTGTAGTACTGTCTCTGGCTTGAGGTTGGCTATCAGGGTGCTGTGGGCTGGTGAGGCCCAGTGAGTCTTGCAGGACCACAGTACCCTAGGTTTTCCTGCTTGCCAGCTCTGTGCTGGCTCAGAGTGAACCATATCCCCAGATAACTAGTTTTTCCATGCCTGGATCCCATGTTAGTGACTGACCAGGTCTCGGGATATACCAGCCTTAGGGAGCCTCTGTCCTCTGAGCTGGAGACTGCAAGACTGGCCGTGATCTACGTGTGGGAAGGAATTCAGCTCTGTTCGTTCCCACCTTTTTCAATGTCTGTGTATGCCTAACCGGGCATCTACTAGGGACGGACAGGAAGGCAGGCAGGGCACTTTGACTTCAGTAACCTCCTTTCTTCTGGGGTGGGTTCCCATGGCTACACTGCATGACACGGTGTCTTTGGGTTGCTGCTCCCTAAAGTTCTCTTCCCTGGGCCTTTGAGCAGTCCCACCCCAGCTACCCCTGCTCTCTAGAGAACTCGGATTCATGGTTTCTAGGACTGTGCCTTGCTGGGGTCTCTGCCCGTGCATAGCTTCTCACAGTGCCATCAGCCCTGTGGAGAGAAACATTGTATGGCCAAGGAACAGCAGGCCTGCCCTTCAGGCCCCACCTGACATAAGCAGAGTAGGAAAGGGGTCTGAGACAGTGCACAAGCCCAGAGGAAGAGTAGTGCTGCTCCCAGGACCATAATCTGATCCAGTTCTCTGGTCCCTGTGTACCTGTGCAGCCTGCCTGCCTGCCTGTCTGTCTTGTTCCAGTGGCTCTGGAGAAGGGGGGGGGGGGCGCACAGCTTGGCTGCCTGGCTCTGACCATTGCTAAGTTAGCGAACCCTCATTTAGTACATCATCCAGTGCCTGAAGTTTTGTGGACACGCAGATCAGGCCTGACTAGGTCTGTGGAACAGGCTGGGAGTGAGGAGGCTATGCACATGGAGCAGCATCTCTGATCTCTGCCACTAGATGTCGCTAAAATCCCACTACTTGTCCCCACCCACAAGCTGTGACAACTCCAAGGTCTCTGGGTTAAGGTTGGGGCTGTTCTCTCTTATGGCCTGCCCTGCCCCACTTCCAGGAAGGTGCCTGACTCCCGGTTCTCTGTCAGAAACTCAGCTAGGGAGTTGCCAGTGTGTTGATCAGACAGGCGGATGTGACCACTCCCGCAAGCCTTAAAGCCACCAAGGTGGAACTGCAGTCCAAGGGTGACAGGGTACTGTGAGGTGTTTCCTGAGCTCATCCAGCCTGGGAAGGGTTTGGGAGAATCCAGGTGACCATTCTGCTGCCCACCCCCCATAGTGCCTACAGAGAAAAGCTGTGGCCGCCAGTCCAGCATAGACCACAGCCACTGTACCCCAGGGCTCTGCTGCAGACCTGGCTGAATGCCACAAGTCCTGACACATAACTGGATTTTAGTCCTCACTGCCATCCTCTCAGTGGTAAGAGAATGACTGTAGATTTGAGATGGGTATACCGGCCCAAACCCTGATACCCTGACAGAGAACCATCTACTGAGGGAACCGAATTAACCCTCCTGCCACCCTTCACCAGGCTGCTAAGAAGCAGGCATCCTGTGCTGTACTAAAGACTCTACAGTTACTCTTCTTCTTGAGGTCTCGTTACCAGGTAGTTGTGGACTCCGGTCTAAAACTGTCTGTGTTGACCCAGGGTGGATTCTGGTCACTTTTCCAGTCTCTGGTCTTCATTCCCCTCCCTCAAGGGCCACAGCGTGGTAGAGAATCAGCTCCAATTCTCAAGTAGCCTGACAGATCCTCATACCACTGCATCTGTGCCTCATTTTCCCGACTTGTAGAAGTACACCCCAGAACAGAGACGGGAGTTAAGCCCTAACCACGTAAAGGCCCTCCTTGTTCTAAAGAGTTCCATTGCAGAGCCCTGGGGGGGGGGGGAGTACCTGGGCTGCTGGAGGCTCTGCCACAGCACTTTTGAAGGTACCCTGTCCTGAGCTGCCCTGAACTGCTCACCACAAGCTGTCTTCTGACTGCCCTATGACCAGGACCTAGACAGATGGGGATGTGGGTAATACCCTTCTCAGAAGACCAGGGGTGGGTAGAGCCCAGGACAGCCTTAGCTCATTGGGGAATAGAATCATGGGACATTTCGTACATCCAGACAACTATGAAACACTGACTGGTCCCAGCCTACCTTCCTCCTCTTCCTCCTATTTTGCACTTGTTCCATTTGTTTCTTGAGACAGGGTTTCTCTGTGTAGCTCTGGCTGTCCAGGAACTACTCTATAGACCTAACTGGCCTTGAACTCACAGAGATCCATGCGCCACCACCTCCCAACCAGACCTTCCTTCTTAGTCAGACCCTGGCACAGGGCTGAAAGACAGATTCTGTGGAGACCTTCTTCACAGGGTCCTTTGGTGACCTTGACTCTTGGGTATGAGTCAGGCAGACCTGGGCCCTGTGCTGCCTCCACAGGCACAACTGCAGACCGTTCACCTCCCGGTGACTACACTGCCCCTCTGGCTCCAAGCTGCATTCGTCCCATTGGCCTCCTGGTCTTGGCAAATGTGAGCTGTGTATCCGTGCTGTAGCTGTCTAGCTGTCCCCAGGGCCCAGAGTCATACGACCCATGAAGTAAAAACTCACGGGTAGGTAACCTAGGTCTGTGGAGAGCCAGCCGCCCACCTTGCTGGGTGCCCAGATACCTGGCTTCAAGTTGGGCATCTTTAAACACCAGACTTTTGCAGGCTTGATGAAGTAGGCCATTCCATAGTTAAGGTAACCATGAAGGACTCTACTCCGATAGCCGCTAGCCTTGGAAAATACTTAAGAAGGAAGACTACCTGGAGTCTAGGGCTGTCTTGGAACAAAGATCTTTACAGATAGATTTGATGTGTGGTCATCTGAGTGGTGGGGGGTCCTAAGTCTAGTGACAGGTCACTGGAAAAGGGAAGTTGTGTGTGAAGTGGCCTCTGCTCCAAGCGAGGTGTCTCTGGATGCCCCTGCTGTCAGTTCACCCCATCCTAATCCTTGGGTGCATTTGCTCACTCACTTTGGATGGCACAGCAGCCCTGTACCAGGGCCTCCTGAGCTTCATAGCAAGGGACCAATGTGTCAACCCAAGTCTCTTCAAGCAGCCTTGGAGCTTGTGTGAACTGTGAGAGTCTCTTGAAGGATTTTGGAAGTGCCTGTTCCTGTCCTGCACTCCAAATGTGAGAGGCAGCCCTATATCAGCAGAGACTTTGGAGCTGGTCCCTCCAGGCCAAGGGACGGGCTGTCCTCTGCTTACAGAGAGAACTCATGGGCTTCTAGCCAGGCCCCATTCCTTTGAGTAGCCAGGGAGTATAGGAGGGGGATGGTTCTGTCCCTCTCTGCTTGCTTCCCTAAGCTTTTGTTTGGTCCAGTGTTTTGCTCCAGAAACATTCCAGAATTTGTATTATGATCTGTCTAGATTCTCTAACCAGAATTCTGCTTTTTTAATGCATTCCAGGTGATATGTCCAACCTGCACCCTAAGTTGTCCTTTGAAGGCACCAATTTGGATGTGGGGAACATCGTGCTGGCATTGTACAGTGGCCTGTTTGCCTATGGAGGATGGTAGGTTCTGGATGATCTGAGTCCCTTGGCCTGGGAACTCATGGACTTGATGTGCCCAGAGACTCAGTGCTCTGACCATACGGGGGTGGCTCAAGTGGGTGGGACAGAGCACAGGGAACATCTTGAGCTGCGCAGACACCTACAGGTCCCTACCATTAGGTAACAGGAAAGGAGAGCTCAGTCCTGTCTGCAGTTCTCCATAAGGTACCAGCCTGGCCTCTGCTTTTAGGACAGCTCTGTAGAGGCTTGGGATGTTGAAGCCACACAGAATGTTTGGACAGGACGGGCTGGGTTCACCTCAAAGAGAGTTGGCAGAGGACAGAGCAGAATGAGCAACTGGTCCCAAGGGTGCCCACTGCCCAGCTCCTGTCAACAGTGAGAATGAACAGAGGATTCTCCTATCCCTTACTATCTTAGTCAGTGTACTGTTGCTGTAAATGGGGGCTTACAGTTTAAGGTTAGTCTTAGTCCATTATCATCATGGCAGGGAGCATGGCGAGTGCACGGTCCTAAAGCAGTAGCTGCAAGGTTTGCATCCGGATCTGCAGGCAGGCTGGCAGAGAGACACTGGGCCTAGTGTGGGCTTTTGATATCTCAAAGCCCACCCAAGTGGTACAAAAGCCATAACTCACTCCAGCAAACCATACCTCCCAATCCTTCCCTGGTTGCTCATAAGCTGGGAACTAAATTTAGAAATATATGAGCCTAGAGGAGCCAGTCTCATTCAAACTACACCTACCCAGAGCAGCCCAGGAGTCTCTTCACATTGATTTTTCCCGAAACCGTGTGTGCAGTGTAATGACACACTATTGCTTGGTTTCTAGGAACTATCTGAATTTTGTCACAGAGGAGATGATCAACCCTTACAGGTATGTACAGAAATGACAGAGACACATTTCTTTGTCTTAACACACAAGGGAGAAGCCACACACTGAACAAGCCCCTTGATGAGCCCTGCCCGGGTTCTATGAAAGGCTGTATCGGGGCTTGCAGTAGAGATGATGCAGGGATAGGGTGGGGTTAGGCCAGAGAGAAGCCGCTGTGGCTCTCAGTCCTGGACTCCAGGTGGAGGGGACTTGTCTGGGGCTGTGCAGCAAGTAGGCAGGGGCCACGGGTGTTCACATTGGGCAGTCTTGGTTCTCTTGAGCCCTCAGAGCCACCTAAAGGAGCCTCTGTTTTCCAGAGATGGTAGTGTGTGCTTCAGCTGTGTGCGGCTGTAGATATTCCTATTGTTTGCCCAAGAAGTGAGGCCTAGACAGGGAGGGAGCCCGGCTCCTCATCCTGGGGTCTGTACGACACACTGACATGTCTCTCCCTCCTCTCCCCAGAAACCTGCCCTTGGCCATCATCATTTCCCTGCCCATTGTCACGCTGGTATATGTGCTGACGAACCTGGCCTACTTCACCACCCTGTCGACCAACCAGATGCTTGTGTCTGAAGCTGTGGCTGTGGTAAGACACTGCCTACCAACTGCTCCTAGGCCCAAGAGGCTGAGATTGGTGTGCCACCCCCAGATGTGTGACCAAGCCAGTCAGGCCCGGCCCTTGTGCCCAAGCTTTGCCCTAGCTGGGGAATCTAGTGTATGTGGGAGACTGCTCGTTTGTTTCCCTGCCATCCAGATCCGAATAATCACACAGAAACTCTATTAATTAATTATGACACTGTTTGGCCAATGACTCTGGCGTATTCTTAGCCAGCTCTTACATCTGAAATTAACCCATTTCTATCAATCTGTTTATCACCATGAGGCTGTGGCCTACCGGTAAGGTTCCTAAGGTTCTGCTGTGTCCTCTCTCGGCAGTTACATGGCATCTCCCTGACTGCGCCCACTCTTTCTTTATCTTTGGATTTCCGCCTGGCTTCACTCTGCTAAGCCATTGGCAAAAACAGCTTTATTCATCAACCAATAAAACAACACATATAGAAAAGGACAGCCCATGTCACTAGTGGTCATCATTGGTGACCACTAAAGATGACCACAGAGGACCCCACCAGGCTCTCTGCATGATGACGGTGGGGCATTAAATGCAGCTGCGTAGCTGGCACCTTGCCTGTGGCAAGACAGTATGTGGGTGGTCATAGGCATCTGGGCACGGGTGGCTTTGTTAGGGACCATGGTGCCTTAGGGACTGCTGCTAGATCTGTGTCAGTCAGTGAGGCAGCTCCAGAAGGCACAACCAGGCTCCATGGCAACCCCCGTGACTCCTTCACTCTCCTTTGGGCCACCCGGAGGAGCGGCAGCACTGTCCGGCTTTTATTTATTAGGTGTTGCCTCAGAGCCCAGAGTTAGTAAAGACCTGCCACACCAGGCTCTTGACCGATGTGAAGAAGCCATCAGTAAGGGAGACCTGTTAAAGATTATTCCCGTGTCCCATAGGAAGCCATCAGGGTGCCTTATGTGTGAGACCCTGTGTGTCCTCACAGTGCAGGCTCTAATTCTGAGAAATGGCCACACAAGCAGACGCCTGAGGTCAGCCCAGCAGGGTCATGTGCTCAACTGCTCCAGGGGCCAGAATTGAGGCCCTGCCTGTGTCCCGCTGGAGCTAAGCGCTCACCATGTGTTGTGTCTGTCCAGGACTTTGGGAACTATCACCTAGGAGTCATGTCCTGGATCATCCCCGTCTTCGTGGGCTTGTCCTGCTTCGGCTCTGTCAATGGGTCTCTGTTCACATCCTCAAGGTAAGCGCCTGACAGCGCTAGAGAAAAACCCCCTGCTATTCCACATGCTTTGAAGGCTATCTGTTTATTGATGATAGGCAGCCGATTGTTCAGTATTTGAATGACTTGAGAACAGGGGAACTATTCTGACCCTCTACTGTTTAAGTCAGATCCTGGAGGCACTATAAGCAAGATACAGCCCGGGTTTCTGTCCTTGTTAGCCCAAGAAGTCAAGGACATTGAAAGGCCTGTGGCCAGAGACCAACCAGAGGACAAAGGCCACCCCCCTCCCGGTGTAGCTGATGCGCATCCTCCTCAGCTCCAGGTGTCTCCCAGCCATATATCTAGGTGGTGGGACCAGTGATGATTGCCCTCTGCTCCATCCACAGGCTGTTCTTCGTGGGATCTCGGGAGGGCCACCTGCCTTCTGTCCTCTCCATGATCCACCCACAGCTCCTGACCCCTGTTCCGTCACTGGTGTTCACAGTAAGTCTACCACGTGCTCCTGCCCTGTCTGTCCTCACCACTCATGGTCCTGTGTCTGCCCAGAGCAATATGTAGTTGGGAACTGTGTGCCATGCACACGGAAGCCAAGCCCAATACACCACCAGATTTTTAAATTCAGAACCCCATTGTGGTTCTTGAAGTATATGAAACAAAATCTCTGCCCAGGGAGAACGTCTGCTCAGACACCGTCTGCTCTAGCCATGTCCACACCATTTAGTGGCCTCAGTGCACAAATTAGACTCCTGTTCTTCCTTCTGTGCCTATCCATTGAGTTATGTTCTCTATTACTATGTAACAAAGTCACCCCATCCCCAGAAGCCTAAAATAAGAAACACTTACTGTCTCCCCCTTCCTGGGTCAGGAATTCAGGCTCCCTCAGGAGGCGTAGTCAGTCAATTTGAGCTTTCTCTTAATGGTGCTATGGTGTGTAGTGTGCTCCGTGCTTTGTTGGAAGGCTCCCCCAATGGACATGGCAGTCACTGCTGGCACAGGAGCCCAAGTAGCTCTAGGTGCAGGTGCTTTTGCTGTTCCGCTCTGGAGAGCTCTTGTACGTCATCCTTGGACCATGGGTGCCTCACTATCCTCACTTCCCTCCCTTTGCACCCCAAGACCTCCCACATGGTCACAGCAGTTACTTCTGTGTGTGTGTGTGTGTGTGTGTGAGAGAGAGAGAGAGAGAGAGAGAGAGACAGACAGACAGACAGACAGACAGACAGACAGACAGAGACAGAGAGGTGTATTTATTTATTGTGTATACAGTGTTCCTGCCTGCACGTACACCTGCAGACCAGAAGAAGGCACCAGATCTCATTACTAGTGGTTGTGAGCCACCATGTGGGTGCTGGGAATTGAACTCAGGTCCTCTGGAAGAGCAGCCAGTGCTCCTAACCTCTGAGCCATCTCTCCAGTCCCTAAAAATATAAGTTTTTTTTTTTTTAGATGGTTTTTGTTTTGTTTTTGAGACAGAGTTTCTCTGTCCTGAAACTTGCTTTGTAGACCAGGCTGGCCTCAAACTCACAGAGATCTGCCTGCCTCTGCCTCCCGAGTGCTGGGATGAAAGACGTGTACCACCACCGCCCAGCATAGTTACTTCTTAAAACAAGAGCAAGCAGTTGTGTTCATCCAGACTCTGGCAGAACTGGCTGTCGGTTTTCTGTCTCGTGGCCTCTGGCACCCTCCCACATCAGCACAGCCTTGCCAGGCTCACCTGGCCCTGTCTTTACTTTCAGTGTGTCATGACCCTGATGTACGCCTTCTCCAATGACATCTTCTCCATCATCAACTTCTTCAGCTTCTTCAACTGGCTGTGTGTGGCCCTGGCTATCATCGGCATGATGTGGCTTCGCTTCAGGAAGCCTGAGCTGGAGCGTCCCATCAAAGTGAGTATTGGGTGGTGTCCTTCCCAGTCCCTGGGTGTCATTCTCAGAAGCAAGGTCTGCATCCAAGCAGCCCTGGACTGACACGACCTCTCTAGTTCTGCCCTGTCCATCTCTCCTTGGTAAACTAGGGAGCCTGCCCCCTTCTCCATGAGTACCATATGAAGGGCACATTGAAGGCTAAGCTTGCTGGGGTCAGAGTTGTCCCAAGACAGCTGAGTTGTGGTAGCTGAAGGCCAGCAGTTTCTGTTACCCAACTAATTCTTGGGCACACCACTGACCCAGTCACACCTGCTACAGGGCTTCTTCCTGCCCCTCCCCGACTCTGGTCTCCACCAGCATCACAAGGAACCTTGTGGCCAGTTGGTGGAAGACCCCAATCATGCTGGGGTCATCCCACTGTGGGGTTAGAGGTCAGGCTGCCCACAGCTGGTCTGTGGAAAGTTCACAGATAACCCGTGGGCTTCATTCCCTGAGCACATAGTTAGAGTCTATTCCAACAAGACTATTTCCCACGATGGGAGTCCATTTTCAAGACTGTGGAATTCTGGACAGCAGTCTGGCAAGAGCCTACAGAGGAAAACCCAGCTCTGCCTGCTGGGTTATTCAGCACGCCAGCTTCCCTGCCAGAAGCCTGTCTACTTTGGCTAGTTGCAGGCTGTGGCTTTGGGGTGAGCATTTAGACCCACAAAGGGTTCTCTGAAAAGGCAGTATTCCTGGCTTGGTGGGTAGCCAGGGTCTTCCCAGAAGGATCAACCTACTGCTCCTCCCCGAGGTGACCTTGGGTGGGTATTATAGCCTGGGTTTCCATGTCTGTGATGTGGGGGGGCTGCAGGGCCGACCTCTGCTGCCCCAAGGAAGCCTCAAGAGAAATGGGACCAGCTGTGTCTATACTAGCTGAGCTTTGGGTAATTGTATACTCAGTGCCTTGTACTGAGGTCAGAGTGAGACCAAACAGGACCTGGATTCTGCTCTCTCCGGGCCCACGACAGTTCAAAGCAGGCCAAGGGAACAGCTAGAGGTAGTTAAGCCACTTCAAAGCAAAGGGCCAAGGTCTAGGAAGAGGAGGCTGGACAGACCCAAGGAGAAGGTGATGGCTCCAGGGCCACATGCCAGTCACAGGACAATAGGCGGGAACTTTCCACTTGTGCCCACGGGCCTGGAGCAATGTGAGGAGAAGCTGGTAGCATTTATTTCTCCATTCTATTCTAGGTGAACCTGGCCCTCCCGGTGTTTTTCATCTTGGCCTGCCTCTTCCTCATCGCTGTGTCCTTCTGGAAGACACCCAAGGAGTGTGGCATTGGCTTTGCCATTATCCTCAGCGGGCTGCCTGTCTACTTCTTTGGCGTCTGGTGGCAGAATAAACCCAAGTGGCTCCTGCAAGCCATCTGTGAGTGTATACAGCCCCTGCCCATACCACCCAGGGTGGGAATGTCCAGGGTAAGGGATTCTTTTTTTTTTGTTGTTTTTTTGTTTTTTTCGAGACAGGGTAGGGTAAGGGATTCTTGATCCTGCCATGACCACCATGCTGAGCCTCAGGCTTTGTGGTACTAGGTTTGAGTCGCTAGTATAGTGCGCCAGCCATGAATAACCAGGATACAAGGAAGAGAGATGGAGCTTCACTTTAGCTGGTCTTGGGCATTCCATGCTAACTGGCAAAAGCCTACTGCAGGCCATGAGCTTGGACATGGTGGCCTGACCAAGAGAGGGAGCCTGAGGGGGTTGTAAATGAGGCACCTGGCTCAAGACTATTCCAGTTAGGTCCCTGTCTTCGCTGCCCTAAAACTCCAAGGGGGAGCGTGTTTGCAGACCGGGGTTATCACTGTGTTCTGGGGGACTTTGGATTTCCAGAATGGGGAGTGACATCAGCCTGATGGCATAAGTTCAGATTCCTGGACCCATGTAAAAGTCAGACGCTGGCCAGCAGCTACTTACTGAAGTGTCTGTCTAGCCCCTCCCTCGAGGTTTCAGAGGTGACTAATGGGCTGGCGAGAGCAAGCGGGGCAGCAGGAGCCGACCCCAGTTCCTGCCCCATCCTCTGCCCTTTGCTCACCCCTGATCTCTCCCCGCAGTCTCTGGGACGGTGCTCTGCCAGAAGCTTATGCAGGTGGTTCCTCAGGAGACTTAGCTGCGAGTCTCGGGTGCCACAGGGAGAATGCGCACAGTGACTGCTTCTGGAAAGTTCACCTTTGGAAGAGCAGCGTCCAGGCCTGTCATTCCCCACAGCTCCAGCGAGCGCCACCAACTCTCCAGCACCATCCACTGTCCCTCCAATGGTCGAGGGTCCACAGCGGCTGCGAAAGAAAACTCTGGTACGAATTTGGTCCTAGAAGGCGACCATCTGTGCATGGCACTCAGTGTTAGCGCATGCCGTGAGCTGAGGCCTGGTTTTTGTGACTTTCTGGGGACTGCCACATCTGGTCTTTCTCCCCGCTCTGATTTTTGTTTTATTTTGTTTTTGTAGCTTGCATTTTGGGTCAAGTTTACACTACCGAGATGATTATTTTTAAACAGAACAGGGTAGCAAGGAGCAGGAGATGCGTAGCTAGAGCAGCCCAGCTGTGAATGTGAACGCACTGGCCACAGCCCTTCTCCCGAGGCTGTGTCGCTCAGTAGCAAAGTGTGCCTCAAGGGGACCACGTCGCTGTCACCCGTCGACAGAACTACTGAGACTCGGGTGTCACCTGTTCTACTGTGGACTTGGACTGACAGGCAGATGACATATCTTGCTTGGGTTGTTTTATTTTTCTGGGATCCTGGAGATGGAACCCAGCCTCATTCATATGGGGCAAGTGCTCTACTGCTGAGTTACGTTTTTAACCTTATAAACGTAGAGCTCAGGTCTCACTGAAGTCCTGGGGATTCCTCTTCCCTTGGCCATACATGAAAGAGCGCTCCGCAACCATAACTCAGCAGCTGGCTGCCATAGCTAGAAGCTCGTGGGAAGAGCTGGCTTCCAGCTGTCATCTACAGGGCCACGTGTGCTTGTGCACACTGGCAGACACAGTCTATCGATCCCCTACCCCAGCGCTCTTAGAAACAGACCAGGAAGGCGGACAGTGACCAGCACCATGGGTCTCCCACCCACACCCCTCTGTTCACCGCCATAGTTCCTGAGACTGTCACCGCCATCCCCTCCTTATCCCCTGTACCCATTGTCCAAAACATGCACCGGACGCCCCTCCCTGCCGTGTGCCACCTGTGTGACAAGACCACTCGAGCTTCCTGAGTATGAAAGCTGCTGGCTGCATGCTGCTCTCCCTCCTGTTGGGACCACCCTACAAGCTTCCCATTCTCTTCTAGAGGAGACAGCTGAGGTCCAGCCAGCATACCTAACCAAGAACTGATCTGCTTAGAGAGCCATCAGGTTCTATTACCCTTGCTAGCCCCAGCCATCACCGCAGGTCACGGCCTGCCTGCAAGAGTGATTCTCTGCAGAGCCTGCATGGTGGTGACCTTACCACTGTCCACCCCCCCCCCCGACCTCCCTCTGTGTTCCTGGGGTCCCCTTCCATAGGGGTGAGGAGGGAGCGGTCAGAGTGCCTCCTGAAGACTCTGCTCTCCCAGAGATCTGAACTGGGGTCTCTGCCCTGGAAATCAGGTCAGGAACCCAGCCCCAGCCTGGGTCCAAAGGGCAGGGGCTCAGTGGGCCATTTTCATGGTGCTGACCTAGGCCCTCTGAGAAGACCTTGCTCGTTCCTATTTCTGATGTCTTGGGGTCTCCCGCTTTGTTTTCTCAAAGCAAACCCTGACCACAGAGCCATTTTGTTCTGTGCTTTGCATTTTTGGTTTTGTCCTAACATGTCACTGCGTCTGGCTTTTTTCAGGGGTCAGTGGTGTGTCCAGGCTGTGTTCCTGCCACATTGGGGCCCTCTACTGTGCCACCTGAGTCAGTGATATGGTTGTAACATCTTTTACTCTTGTATTAATGGCTAACCTGTTACACTGGGCTGGGGGTGGGGGTGGGGTGCTGCTGTTTTATGGGACTTTTTGATTGTTTTTTTTGTTTTGTTTTGTTTTTTTTTAAAAAAAGCTATTGGAATTCTAAGTTGCTAACAGTCTTCTGTGTTCTGTGTTCAATGCCAGATTCCCTGTGTGGGAACCGTCTCTTTTCCCTCAGCCCACCCCTTTCTCTCAGCCACGCATTCCTTTGCTCACCCAGCCCCCCTGAGGGTGACAAGGCTGGAGGGGAGCCAGGGAGCCAAGGACACACTAAGGTCACTGGAGGGAGAAGGTTCCTGGAGGCCCCTAGGTGGGGAGGGTCTTGGCCTAGAAGGGACCTTATGCTAATTGTGCTGTGAGCACCATCTCATGGGAGTGGGGTGGGAGGAAAGGGGCCCGGCAAGGAATAAAATGATTCCAGGCCATCTCGTAGCACCCTCATCTCTCATGGACAGGTAGAGCTCATGGCCCAGAACCTAGGGTCACTTCTCTCTGCATCCTAGCATCTGTGGGAGAGGGCCCCTTGAGGCCAAACCCCCACCTCTATCCTGGAACCTCTACTGGGTGCTGAGTTCCCATAACCAGCCCTCAGCTTCCAAATGTCCCTGGCTGTGCAGTGTGTCTTTGAAAAGCAGGGCATTCCAATGGAAGGTGTGTGTAAATCTGGGGGGAGAGGGGGGGAGTACCTATCCCATACAGGGCAGGAAACACACACCCCTTTTAGGAGACATGTGGACTCATATTGGGTGAGTCATACCACCCTTTCCTGCTGTAGAGTTAAGTTAGAGCTCTTCAAAGGTTTTGAGCCTCCCAGAGCTGTCTTTGAAGGTTATAGGCACAAACATGCCCTGCCTTTTATTGGCCCCCACCTGAACTGCTCCACCCCACCCCCATTCCCTACACAGTCCAACCATTCTGCCTATACAGGACTTGTGTCTGCTAAGTCATGGGTAATAGCAGGGCTGCCAAGTGGCCTGGCCTCAAGTGTATGTGATCTTGTCCCCATTCAGATGGCTTGTGTGGCCCCTTGAGCCAAGACAGGTGCCCTGCAAGCTCCCTGCCCTCCAACGCTTGCTGACACCAACCCTGAGCTGGTAGCCGCATATGCCTAGAGAAAGGGGGATCATCTTCCTGTAAATGAACCCCACACTCTGACCTCAACATACTCGGTCCTTGTGTCTTCCTTGAACCTTGGCTGTGTTATATCCCGGCTGCAAACTGCCCCTTACTCAGCCCACAGTGAGCTGGGTACTGGCTTCCTCTTAACTCTTACCAACATTTAACGGAGCAGACAGAGGAGCTTCGGCATCCAGAGTGGACAGCACAGTGCCCGTGGACATGGCTTTTGTGAAGCTCTCCTGGAGGGCTATGTACTCTGTATCCATAGACGGCCTGCACTACTGACCACTGTGTGCAACCTGCAGCCTCTGTCTTGAAGGAGCTCCAAGGGAAGGATCAAGGGCGAGGAGCCAGAGGCAGATCTGCTAGCTCTGGGTTAGACACCTCAGGTGCCCTGAGGGGCCAGCCAGCTGGAGGCTGAAGAGCTGATTTTTCCCAAATGTTAAGCAGGTGCTTGTGAAATGAGAGCAAATCAGGATTTATTCAGAGCCGACTTCTGAAGGATTACGGAAAGGGGGGGCGTTGCAGTGCTGGGACATCTGTCTCACTGGTGTAAGGGTCTTAAAGTGTATAAGGGGAGGATAGGACCAGAAAGACCCTAAGAGTGGGTGACTGGAGGGAGCAGCAGCTGATGGAGCAGACATTTCCGCAGGCCGGACTGGGAGGTTTGGTTGCAGGTTGGGGACCTGCAGAGACAGAGACCGACCACGTTGAGATCTCGACCCAGTGTCCAGGTCCTCCACACCATCAGAGAAAGTTCCAAAGTTCCTACCTAGGAAGAAGGCCACTACAGAGAAGCACTTGAGTCCCGGCACCTCAAGAGCTCCCTTGAGGGACCCTGGGTAGCTCGCTTCAGAGGCCGACTTAAACAGGGAAGGATCTTTGTGAGTTAAACTGAGAGGGCAGTGGAAAGTTCAGGAATGGGTAGGGATTTTCCTGTGTATGGGCAACTCCCCTTTTCCATTCTGTGAGGCATGGTGGCTGGTGCATTATGGGAGCAGATAGTTCTGCAAGGTCGATGATTGAAAGACGCCATTTTAACCAACCAAAGGGTGGTTCGCAATCAGCTTGGTGGGTCACACCATTGGGCTCAGCTAGCTTTGGTGCGCTGGCTTTTTTTTTTTTTTTTTTTTAAACTGCTTAAGGATTCACACACCATGCCAATACTCCTTGATTGCATTAAACTCTGGCCTCTTCCCTATGCCTGTTGCTTGTTTCAGTCTGGCTCCCAGGAAAGAAAGAAAACCAGTTAGATCAGCCAACATCTTGTCCCATAGGTCAATGTGAGGTAGAGGAAGGAACTAACACTGGGTAGTCTGCAGCTCCACTGGCTCCCCCTCAGGTCTGACTGCTGGAAGGAGCAGTTTGGAAGATAGTGGTCCACAAATCTCTGGAGCTGGTGCTTTGGTACCTCTTGAGGAAAACAGGGTCAAGGGTCAGAGGGCACTGTCTAGCAGATGTTTTCTCCAGCTGAACGCAGTCATCCTAAACCACACACACTCCATTGCCCCTCCCTTCGTGCGCTCCCCAATACCAAGTCAAATGCTATGCTGATACCATCAAATCCAGCTGTATAGAAACCCCAGTTGGGGCTAGAGAGATGGCTGCTCTTCCAGAAGTCTTGAGTTCAATTCCCAGCAACCACATGGTGGCTCACAACCATCTATAGTGGGATCTGGTGCCCTCTTCTGTCATGCGGGGATACAAGCAGTACACTCATAAATATAAATGGATATAAATATAAATAAAATAGAAATAGAAAACCCAGCTGTTGCTCATTAGGGCCACTGAGGCACAGGTAGTGAGGCATCTGTAAGTAGAAATCCTGTTGGTATCTCGAGAGTAGGAAATACAAGCATCTAGGCATCTCCCCAGTCCAGCCATTCATTGTCAGGACAAAACTGACGCCTCCTGCATTGTACCAACCTAAGTTCTGCCTGCCCTGTCTTCTCTTAGAACAGTGTGGGTCTGGAGCTTTCTCTCTAGAGAACAGGAAGAGGAAGGAGAGACAGGGAATGGGAGCACAGATGCAAGCCTGTGCTCTATTCGGGGGCCCCCATTCAACCTCCCTTACCCAGCTGCCTTGCCTGGTGAGACCATGGCCTATAGAATGGTACCTTATGGGTCCCAAGTCCACTGAGCTTGCCAGGCCGGTGGCGATGTTGTACATGGTGTGTGTGTGTGTGTGTGTGTGTGTGTGTGGTGTTCCCTTGACCAATAGCCAGCCCAGTCTCAGGCTGGGACTTGAAGCAGAGGCTTGTCTCTTGGAGACAAGAAACTGATTTGGAAACTCTGTGTGTGTTGGCGGGGGGGGGGGGGGGGGGCCCGTGGGGGGGGGGGGGGGGGGGGGGGGGGGGGGGGGGGGGGGGGGGGGGGGGGGGGGGGGGGGGGGGGGTATCCCCGGGGGGTATCCCCTTGACCAACAGCCAGGGCCAGGGCCAGGGTAGGTATTCTCAGGCTGGGACTTGGATTGGAGGCTGTACTAGAGACAAGAAGTTAATTAATTTGGAAACTGAGATCTGGGCCAGTGGGTGACCCCAAGAACAGTGTATAGTCTCTAAGGCCCCAGAGAAGAAGCCATATTGTGCCACGGCCTCTTCTGGCCATCCTCTGGTTTTGGGCAGAGTATTTAAGCACATATCTCTGACCCCTAGAAGACCTGTATGCCCTAGGCCTCTATCCAGAAACATCTGTGGCGATGGTGGAGGTTGAGGGCAGCACTAAGCCTCATGCCATAGGGCATCGGGAAGAGGAGGAAAGGAGAGACACATGCTCCAGACACCACATCCCCAAGCACTAGAGGGTGGAATGTTGGCTATCCCTCATACAGTGTAGCTGAGGTGTGAGCCAAAGGTTTCTGCAGCTGGGTGGTAGGGAGGAACCAGCCCCCCCCCAGCCCTCCCACAAGAATCGCTGGTCACCTCCCCACCCTCACACTGAGGCCTGACCCCGTGGATGCCACCTGAGAAAGTGCCAGCCTTGCAGCAGACACATGAGCCGGGTGGGTGATGATACCACCTGCCTCAGGACAAACAGCTCCTGGAGGTGAGGCTCAACACACACACCCCGCTTTGGATGCTGTAGGCAAGAAGCACTCAGTGAAGGGACACCCAAACATCTACACCTAGAGTCCTGGACAGCTGCACCATGCAGGATCACACTCACCCCTCACACACACCCAGCCTCCCTCAGCTCTTGGCCTAATCCCACCACATTGCACCTCAAGCCCAAGATAGCCAAGTGGCCACGCCACCAGGAAAGGGGCAGGCCCCTCCTTCAGGTGTTGTTTAAGCTTTAAGGCTTCATCTTCTGCCAGAACTTCTAGATACCTATCTCCTGTGTATGCACAGCCATGTCAAACACTGTCCTGTTTACTTCTGGGGTCCAGTTCTAACAAGACCTTTCCTGTAGCCAATTCTGTGTGTAGGAACTCAACTGTATCATTAAAGTCTGTCTCATAAACTCCACACCTTGGTGCCTGCCCACCCCAGTGAGCATCTCTTCTCAGAAATGCTCTTTGCCTATTTCTTTGGCGATCAAACATTGACTGGGTCAAAGGGAGTGCTGGAAGATTCCAGAGCCCCTCCTTCCTTGCCATCTTCAGGGCCTCTTTTGGGCTTCTGTAGGCATCGTCTCTAGATGGTTCTTGTAGCTTCTGACAGAGTCTGAGCCAAGGCTAGGGTGTGGCCCTGACTCCCTGTTCTGCCTCTCTACACCTTTTGACAAGGAACCTGGGCTGTTGTAAGGCCACTCTGTCCTCTGTGAGAGGTACCAGTTAATCCTACTGACTCACAGAGGATCTCTTAATCCTAAATACTGGGTGGGGCCTCAGGCAAATCTGGATCAGGACACAGCTTGGCCTGGGACTCATCTCCCGCAGCTGTCTTTATCTCAAGGTGAGCCTTGCTTGGTTTCATGCAGCCAGATGCTTCGAGGCCGTGCTTTGAACCTCTGGGCAGACTTGATGTCACTGATGTCTTCCCCATACCTCCCCCTGCTGCTGTGACATTTCCTCCAAGCCCTCTGGGACAAGGGCATTTGATCCTGAAGTCTGGCCTCTATCTTAGACTAGCTGTTCTGTTCCTGTACTTACCTCTGTTGTTAGAGATAGACTCAAACCCCGGAGAAGCAACAAACAAATCTGGAGTTGGGCAGAGAGTTCCATTCCAAACAATTACTGCAAGCAGAGCCAAGG